TCTTGTTTCTGCCTTTTCCTTGCCTGTGCCCCTGCTGGTTTCCTCTTGTACAGCCATAGCTCCATTGTGACCAAACATTGTGGTCACAGCTGCTTTGTAGTTGGTTAAGAAAGCAGTGGCATACAAAATAATCTTTGCCTACTGAGGCAGATAGAATTTCTAGCACTGACTCACCTGCTCTTTCCCCTCCCAGTGATCAAACAGAAAAGAGAGAACTTCCCTGTAAACACCTTTTCACCTCCCAATTCCTGTCATACCCATGTCAGAGTCTAAATCAAAGGAGGAAGATGAACAGCTGACAGGGAGTGGGAGTGTGGCTCCCTTGGCTGTGGAGGAAACTGGAGAAGGGCAAAGTCCAGCTGGGCAGGGCAGGGAGGGGTAGAACAAGGGAGAGGGAGTTCAGAGGAAGACCCAGGCCCACCCACTCTTCATCCTAGGGTATGCCAGGAGGAACCAAAAAGAGAGAAACATGGGTTGTGTGGCTTGATTCACACAAGGGCCCTGATTCTCTTCATTAGGCACACCTGGGAAGAGTGTTTAAAAGAGATGCAAGCTGAGAGCAGCAGTTTCTGGGAACAAATGTGAGTTTATCTTGTGTTGACTTTGGTTATCTGCATTCCTGGCATCCTCCCAACTGGGTTGAATTACTGCTGTTCCTTCACATCTGGAATTCCTTCTCTTGTCCTGCTGGACTAATTACCTAATATTGCCTTAATTGGACTTATAGTTACAGTTTTTGTTGACAACATTTTGGACTTGATTCCCTGCAGCCAAAGGCTGTTCCTGGGAGAGTTTTTTCTCCAGCCCAGAAGGTAACCAGGATATTGGGGGCAAAGTTGGAGCTAATAAAGGGACTCCTGGTGATTATCTGACTGTGTTGCCTTTGTACCATGCTCCGGGTTATCACAATTCCTTTCTACAGTGTCAGAGCACAACTTAGCTTATGAACATCCTTCCTTCCTTCCAATCCTATCTTATAGAACCAGATGCTCCCTATCCTATTCAGTCATCACGCACACCCCCAGGCTAAGGTGAATCTGTGCACCACAATAGTCAAGAAACAGGCACAGGTCCTCCATATACCAGATCTATTTTATTCAGAACAATTAACTGGTGGAACAACTTGCTTCCAGAAGTTGTAAATGCTCTAACACTGGAAGTTTTTAAGAAGAGATTGGATAACCATTTGTCTGAAATGGTATGTGAGCAGGGGGGGTTGGACTAGAAGACCTCCAATGTCCTTTCCAACTCTGTTATTCTATAAGTCTTTTATTTATTTAAGAAAATTTAATGGTTGCCCAATGTCTCTCAATGACTTCAGAGTTACCTTACCTGAATTCACCAAAATCACTCCCCATTTTAAAAATGTGCAGGATGTGGTGGGGTGTTAGTGCTAAAAAAATTGGATACTGTATCAATAATTCCTCTGCTTAAAAGATTAATATCCAAGTGAAATAACTAATAACCAAATCTTGGAATCTGGGACTTGTATTGAGCTGTATGTGACTTGAGACTGAAATCAAAGTTGTAAAATTAACCGAGACTGATTGTGTTAGATTTTGAATTGCCTGGATAGTAACATCAGATGACAATTGTGTTTGTCTTTCCTCGTAATCAAAAACCCACTAAACCTTTTGTGCAGATAGCAGTAACTGCATTACTGTACAAAAAAGAGTTTACATTAGGGAAGTGTTCGTTCCAGCCTACACTGGAAAAATTAGTGTTAGGAGGAATGATTGTGGAAGAAATTTGCATTTAAAACAAGTTCCCAGGCATTTTACATTAAAAGCTACATAAATCAGGGGACTGTGTGTCCGAAGCAATTTACAAATATAAATGAATACAGATTGTTTCTGTCGATTAAAGGAAGAAAAAAAACCCATTAAAAGCCCCAGTGGAGTGAATTACCTCCTTTCCAATGCAAGCATAAAAAAAAGGTCTAGGTTTTTACTAGCCTGCATATATCCTGTGCTAAAACCTTATTCTGAGTACAAAAAGTTCTCAGTATAAGAATAGAGCAGCATCATTCTTTTGGCCTACTAAATAAAAATTCTGGCTTCAACTTCATGACATTTCTAGATTCTCCTCTCAACCAGTGGGCCGGGGACCACTGGTAGTCGAGAAAAATGTGGTGGTCCACAGAGAAATGTCACCCCCAAAGCACCCCCCCCAAAGCAATTAATCCAGGCTGTGTGGGAACACATGGCTGTGCCGCCTGCATAGCATGGGAACACAAGGCTTACATTGCTTGCACTGCAAACAACATGAGGTAGTAAGGGGAGTGGGGAAAGGGTGGAGGGGGGAACTTGCCCCACTCACCCCACGCATTTCACCTGGCCATTGGGCTGCTTCTTTCCATTTCTTTCTTCCTCTACTTTTGGCTGCACACAAGGAAAGCAGCAAAAGTCATTCTTTCTCTCCCCCAAACTCCGCTAGAAATTAGTCTTTGGGACCCTGCAAGGCATCCTGTTCCAAGTGGCTGTGCCGGTTCAACAAGTCTCACAAAGACTCAGTTTTGGCAAAGTTTGGGGGAGAGAAAGAAAGACTTTCCTTGCATGAAGCCAAAAGTCTCTCTCTCTCTATCTCTCTCCCCCTCTGAGAACGGAGCTGGAGATGGTATCCTGCAATTCCAAATAAAGAATTATCAATTGGTAGGAAAACAGGGTGGGGAATTTTCCTGCAGACTTTTTTGGGATTTTCTGGTCCACGGGATTTAATATTATGAGTTTGGTAGTTCCTGAGGTCCAAAAGTTGGCAACCCCTTCTCTAGATCTCATTATAGCTTGTTATATTTCCAACAAAAAACACACCCTTGTATTCCTGAACAGCTACAACTTCCGGAACAACAACTCCCATCTTCCTACCTTCCAGAATGGTACATTACATTGTACATCTGTACTCACAATCTGAGATCACTGTTCCCTCTTCTTGCTTTATCACTTCTTGCTGGTCATTAAAGCACACTTTTGCAACACATACCTCAGGTGTTCTTCACGCTCACAGTAGAATTTCTCTGGTAGCTTTTAGTTTTCAAGCTACACACAAAGACCTTATAGCTTCTTTCTCTGGTATCATATATGTTGGGGTGATGCCATTCTGCATAGCATTAGTCATGGTCAGAAGAAATTAACCTCATATTAAACTGATCTGTAACAGTCTACAACAGGGGTGTCAAACTGGTGGCCTGTGGACTGGATGCATCATGCACACTCTGACTCTGGAAATGCAAAAAACCATTGCAATACATCATGTGATGCAATCGAGTTTAACACCCATGGTCTACAATATACTCTACAACTAGATAGATAGATGATAGATAGATAGATAGATAGATAGATAGATAGATAGATAGATAGATAGA